GCAGCTGATCTCAGTCGGTGAAGTATATATTTAAGATTCTGGTGATCTGGTTTGGTGGCTGGGCAGCACCTTCTTCTGTGTTCGCAGGTCACATTTTGTTCATTCATCAACTCCTCAGCTGATCTTGTTTCTTCAGACTTCAAACTGTAGGGATCTGAATCCTCTCCTGGATGGATTTCAGCTGAGTAGTGTAGTCTCACCAACACCTCCAAGTTGTTGGGTTTCGCAGAATCAGCAGCTGGGCCCTGGGTTGCCCTCAGACGAAGTGTTCAGATTTGTTCTGGTTCCGTCCCATGGAGATAGCTTCTCCCCCGGGTGTTGGGGTTAAAGGCGTCCCTGCTCCAAGCTTTTGATTAAGAGCTTGTTTTCACTAGCTCTTCAGCAGGTAATAGCTCTGTTTCTGGTCTTTATTGCGACTGTGTTTCGGCTGCCGCCTGCTGGGCCTGCCTGCCTCCTCACCAGGCCTACCTGCCTCTGCTTGTTGCCGCTGCCATGCCTGTCTACCTCTGTGGACCACTACTGGGCCTGTCTGTCTCTGCTGGCCGCCTCTGCCACCGCCACCGGGCCTACCTGCCTCTGCCGACCACCGCCGGGCCTGTATGTCCAAAATATTGACATTTTAAGCTTAATCTTGTGTAGATACTATAAGATTTTAAATATTATGTTTTGAAATTCATGCCTTGTTAGTGATAACAATCATACTATTTTACCTGATCATTATTTTTATTTAGTTTCCTTAATGTATAATTTCATTATTATTATACTTTCTATCTGAGGCTATAGTTATTTTTAACATTAGACATAAATCCTTTATATCATTAAGCATAATTATAAAAACTTTTTATTCCTCATAGTTTCAATATGTGAGCTATTGTGAGGTTGGTCTTCACTCTTAAGAATTATTTACATATCCCTGGTTATTTATGTGTCAAGTAATATTTTAACATATACAGGAAAACTATGTTATATTTTCATTTTTATTTCTCCAATAAACCTTATTTTCAGAAATAGTTTTTTTTACAGATTCTGTCTCTTGAAATATGTCTGTTTTATGAACAAAATCAGCATCAGGAAGGAATGTACACATCCCTGTAATCATTATTTAGATCTTAATATGTTCCAAATGCTTTGAAAATCCAATATCTTACAATGATGTGAACTAAAACACTATTAGCCCATCACACAAATTTTTTTCTGTAAAAAATACTTTACTGTTCTAAAATAATTGAGAAGAGTTTTCACACATTCAACAAAATATTAGAAGCTTTTCTTATTGTTAAAGATATTACCCTCTATATATATAGATATAAACATATCTATATATACATATACACACATACGTATATATATATATGTATATATATATACATATATATATATACATCTTTGTGTGTGTGTGTGTGTGTGTGTGTGTGTGTGTGTGTGTGTGTGGTGTTCTAGTGTGTGCATGTGTGTTAAAGTACCAATGTTGAGTTAAGAAGAAATCTTGCAGGAGTTGGTTGTCCAGTTCCTTCCATCATTGATGTTTTCTGAGCCCTGTTCTATCTTTCTGGCCAGAGATGATTAACTCCACATTCTGAGCAAAAACCCATTGGCTCTTCCTAGTCACATAAGTGCCGCAAGATCAGAGCTCTGCTTTCAGATTTTGAGGTGCTTTTCCATACTTCTTAGCCTATGGTTAGTAAGATGTTAAATCAGCAAGTGAAAGATGTCCTTGTTCATAAAATTCAATTAACCTGGCATGTTACGGTAAAGTTTGGCATCAATCTTCAGCACTGCACACACACTTATTTTCAAGTTAGTCAGTTATGCCTAACAGTTAGAGGATAATAAATAAAATTGCCCTGAAAGAGGTGGTTTATGGAGTGGTTGCTTTCACCTTGCTTCAGTGATGTTGTTAAGGATAGGGAGAGGGCACCTGTACTGTTTTTCTCCTTTAAAGGACAGTTTCCTAGAGTCTTCCTACAATCCTTATTGCAGACATATCTGATGTTACAGAAACCATGTGCATAAAACTATACCTATCTATTGATTGTCGTATTCTATAAAGATGTATTAGAATTCCACTGTATCAGTGCTATCAACTCAGATTCCTATCAATTGGTTTCATTCTATTTTCTACACAGTCTTCCTACATCTTTGGAGAAGATTCTAAACATGAGAGGCAGTAAAGAGCTAATACTATGAGCACACTGTTTGTTCTTAAGAGTATTAAGAGATGGGCTTTCATTTCTAAAAATCTTCATTTTGGATTCCTAAATCTATCACCTCAACAGATTTTTTTTTAATTTAAGAAATTTTGTTATTCATTTACATACCAACCACAGAGCCCCCACTCATTTCATCCTCCTGCTCTTCTCCAGCCTTCCTCCCCACCGACCCAGCCCCTCATCCCCTCCTCTAAAAGGGTAAAGGATGCCATGGGGAGTCAATGAAGTCTGATACATTTAGTTGAGGCAGGACCAAGCCCCTTCCTCCTGCATCTAGGCTTAACAAGGCATCCCACCATAGGTAGTGGGCTCCAAAAAGCAGCTCCTGTATCATGGATACATCCTGATCCCACTCCAGGGTCCCCTCAAACAGAGCAAACTACACAACTGTCTCCCACATGCAGAGGGCCTAGTCTGGTCTCATGCAGGTCCCACAACTGTTGGTCTAAAGTTCATGAGTTCCTATGAGCTTGGTTCAGTTGTCTCTGTAGATTTCCCCATCATGATCTTGACCCCCTTTACTCATATAATCCCTCTTCCCTCTCTTCGACTGGACTCCCAGAGTTTGGCCTGCTGCTTAGCTGTGGATCTCTGCATGTGCTTTCATCAGTTACTGGATGAAGGCTCTATGATGACAGGGTGTTCACCAATCTGATTACAGCAGTAGGCCAGCTCAAGCACCTCCTTCACTATTGCTAGTAGTCTAGGCTGGGCTGGTCCTTGTGGATTCCTGGGAACTTCCCTAACCCTATAATGTATCCCCCTATCAAGACATCACTTTCATTGCTCTCTCACTCCATCCCACCCCCCAGCTCAACTATCCTGTTCCATCATATTCTCATCCCCCATCTCCTCCCCTCTATTGCCCCTCTTGATCCAAGTTCAATGGAGATCTCATCTATTCCCCCATCCCAATGCGATCCATGCATCCCTCTATGGTCCTCCTTGTTACCTAGCTTCTCTGGAGCTGTGGGTTGCAGTCTGATTATCCTTTGCTTTACATCTAGTATCCACATACGAGTGAGTACATACCATATTTGTCATTCTGAGTGGGTTACCTCACTTAGGATGATATTTTCCAGTTCCATCCATTTGCCTGCAAATTTCATGATGTCATTTCTTTTTACAGCTGAGTGGTACATATACACAGTGGAGTACTACTCCATTCTTCAGTTGAAGGGTATCTAGGTTGTTTCCAGGTTCTGGCTATTAGGAATAATTGTGCTATGAACATAGTTGAGCATGTGTCCTTGATGGTATGGTTGAGTTTGCCTTGGGTATATGCCCAAGAGTTGTATCATTGGGTCTTGAAGTAGACTGATTCCCAATTTTCTGAGAAGTTGCCATACTGAATTCTAAAAGGCTATACAAGTTTGCACTCCCACCAACAGTGGAGGAATATTCCTCTTGTTCCACATCCTCTCCAACATAAACTGTCATCAGTCTTTTTGATCTTAGTCATTCTGACAGGTGTAAGATGGTATCTCAGAGTCGTTTTGATTTGCATTTCCCTGATGACTACGGATGTTGAGCAATTCCTTAAATGTCTTTTGGTCGTTTGAGATTCTTCTGTTCAGAATTCTCTGTTTAGATCTGTAGCCCATTTTTTAATTGGATTGTTTGGTATTTTGATGTCTGGTTTCTTGAGTTCATTATATATTTTGGATATCAGCCTTCTGTCAGATGTGGGGTTGGTGAAGATCTTTTCCCATTCTGTAGGCTGTTGTTTTGTCTTATTTATCATGTTCTTTGCTTTACAGAAGCTTCTCAGTTTCAGGAGGTCCCATTTATTAATTGTTACTCTCAGTGTCTGTGCTACTGGTGTTATATTTAGCAAGTGGTCTCCTGTGCCAATGCGTTCAAGGCTACTTCCTACTTTCTCTTCTTTCTACTTTCTTTCTTGTCAGGTTCAGTGTAGCTGAATTTGTGACCTCAACAGATTTCTACACTGAATATCATCTATTTGCAAAGCCTGATATGGAGAAAGCGCTCATCTATATTGGTATTTTGAAAAGAAAGGATACATCCAGTTCTTATCCTGATTTTCCTAGACCTTCACACATGCTGTGCATGAAAATAAAGCTGTAACATGATGGAAGCAAAGCTGGGGTGGAAGGAAAGGCATCAACCATCTTTTTAACCCCTACCTCAATAAGGAAAGAAAATTCAGAATGCTGAGTTTCAGCACCCATGACTCCACAGTCTCCCTTTATCATAAAAACCAGTTACCTGCTATGTTTGAATACCCAGTACTCAAGTACTTAAATTGAAGGTAAATATGTTAGACTTACAGTCTTCCAGCTTTATGGTATATAAAGGGAAGAAAACAAGATACTTATTCTACATTAGAATTGTCATTATACCCCATAGATTATAAGTGATGATTAGACAATAACTAATCGTGTGCTTTTAAGTTATTTTATAGCATTTTTTCTGCACTTTTTATAGCCTTTATATGTAACAACAACAGACCTGGAAACAGGGAATGATGTTATGAAGAAGTTACTACCTACGATAGGAATGCCTGTAAGTTACTTTCAAGCTACTTTGACTTAAATTTGAGAGGTTTTTCTAAGATCCACATATGTACAAATGTGCATATAAAGATATACAGAAGACACTTGATCATGATAAATTTACAAATCATATTTTACAATCTCCTTTTAGAACTGAAACATCTAAGATATAATGATAGATTTTAGACGGACATTTTTCTTGAATATTTGTCTAAGGTTCATGTGAAATGAAACTCATAGCTCAATGGGTTTGAGCTATACTTTTAGTCTCCCTGGGCAATTTACATTTTCTATTGTAAAAAATAATTGAGATTATTTGGTCATAAGCACACATCAAATTTAAAGACTGCCAATCTTAGAGGGAATGATGTTCTTCTTTTTTATTTTTTGATTATTATTGTACTTCATATTTGGTATCTAATTCCTTCTCCTCTCCCATTCCTTATTCTTTCACTTCTCTGTGTATGGAGGTGTAGATGTTGTGTTTGGATGTGTTCTTTTTTCTCTCTCTCTTAATATTTATGTGTATGTGTCTATTTCTATCTCTGTTCTTCTTTCTCCTTTCTCTCTGCATACATATCTGTGTTTAACTTTGTCTTTTTGTGTGTAAATATACATGTGTCTCTGTGTACTTATGTCTCTCTTTGTGTATATGTTTCTCTGTATGTGTAGATGACCCTCTCTATCACCTATTGTGAGTCTGTATGATTTCTCTGTGTTGTTCTCTCTGTCTCTGTCTCTCCCTGTGTCTATGTCTGTCTCTCCCTGAGTCTATGTCCCTCTCTCTTTCTCTCACTCCCATGGTGTGTTGTGGGGGGTGGTAGTGGTGTGTTTTTCTGCTTGAGTGTGTATGTCTGCTCGTTTTAATAATTAAGACTTCTACAGGAAAGTGCAATTGTTTTTAATCCGGAATCAACAATAAAGTCCAATTAATGATAACTCCAGTTAAAGCATATTTTTACTTTACCCACTATAGTAGGGTGCTAAATATTTCAACAGAATACTCTATTTAGATGGTTGTTCCAAATGGATCCATAGCACTGTGTACAGTAATTGTGTTGTGGAGCTTGTTTCAGCATCTGGCCTATTTTCTAGGTTAGACACATGTCCTTCCTCTCACAGATTGGACATCTCTGAATGAAAGCCAGAAGTTGCTTTTATTCCTAGGCATCCTCAAAGCCTCTCTGTTTTTTGTTTTTTAGTTTTTTGTTTGTTTGTTTGTTTTGTCTATTTTTCCCAGCCTTAGTCTTTCAAAGGATACTTTGCTCAAGAAATCATAGGCACTGAGGGTGTGTGGCTCTCTGGGTAATAGGTTGTGTGGGCATTTCATGTCAAAGTTCAATATTCCACACACATGTCGACAAACAGATGTAACAGATCTTGGAATAACCTTTTTCTTAGTGTTGATAGGCAAATGTAATTTTTTTATCCCATGGTCATTCAGATTCTATTGTGGATCAATTAGATCTAGGCTCCATCAGAAAGGCAAGGCAAGTACCCAAGGGTTTTCTCTTGAAATTGTCGCAGATGACTCAAACCTCTAGTCAAAAGACACATCATTAATACTGATCCTAATAATTTTCCTGCTGGAGAGCTGGGAATGGTGAGGAAAGGTATTTTTAAAGAATCCACTGTGAAAGATTATCTGTGATGGTTGGTTCTTTTTGCATCCCCAGAGTGCTCAATATTACCAACTATGGTTCTGTTGTGGCCTCCAAGAAGCCCCAAGCCTACTCCAAAGTAAGTAACAGGGAAAACTAAAGAGGGCTGACCAAGGCAATGTTTTCACCCTGAATTCTCAATGTTTTCGTCATTCAGTCTTAAAGTTAAACCAACATTAAAAGAAAATAACTTAAACATTATTTCATTCATTTAATTCACAATTACCAACTATTTAATAGAACCCAGTCACATGATACTATCTCTTTATGCAACAGTCTATGGGCTGGTGAAAAAAAAACCTGGAATTTTCCTGTGCATTTCCACACACGAAACAGAATTTTCCTAAAAAGACAAACAAAACAAGACTTTGGATTTCTTTTTTTTTTTTTTTTAAGATTTATTTATTTATTACACATACAGTGTTCTGTCTACATGCCAGAAGAGGGCACCAGATCTCATTATAGATGGTTGGGAGCCACCATGTGGTTGCTGAGGATTGAACTCGGGACCTCTGGAAGAACAGCCAGTGCTCTTAACCTCTGAGCCACCTCTCCAGCCCCCGGATTTCTCGATTCTAAATAAAAAATTTTTAAATTTTCATTCATTGAAGACTAAAGACAATACTAGGGGCTAGAGAGATGTCTCAGTGATTAAGAGCACATATTAACTTGTTGTTCTTGCAAAAGGGCTGGTTTTCATCTACAACACCCACAACCATCCAAAACTCGAGTTTCTGGGGATATGATTCCCTCTTCTGACCTGCTCAGGCACCAGGTACAACATGGTGCACAGATATACATGTGAGAAAAAAAACACACACACATAAGTAAAACTGAAATTTAAAGACTTTAAAGAATATTCTGTTTACTCCAAACTATGTAGCTTCTGTTTTGGAATGAAAATGTGAAATCTAGCCATTTCTCTGAATCCATGTAAATATAGTCAGTTCACATCTCTATATGACCTCATTGAATGGAAAATATTCTGTTCAGACTTTTGGAGCCTTCCTGATTGAATCACCTGTTATTCCTTATGTTGCATTTTTCTGGAATTTTTCACAAGATTATTGACATATAGGTAATAGTAATAGACGATTTATCTGAAGCATTTGGATAAGAATTAAAAATCTGAGATTACCAAATCTGCTCCTGAGGCTGACCTTCAAAAGATACTGAAAAGGTGATGTTCTAAGACATGTAGTGACCCTCAGACAAGTAACAGTGAGGATGTCTGTTGGAGGTGAGAGAACATTACCTTGTTCAAACCTTTCTCACATATCCTAAGAACAATCTGTGGGGACATTCTTGGTTATTCAAAGTACAGAAATCAGGCTAATTTTTAAAAATATTTATTTAATAATGTCTGGTCCTTTTGCTTTTTATAAGGTAGATACAATTACAGTTCTCAATCAATGATAAGACAAATGTAGGGGCTTATTAAAAATATATTTAATTACTGAAAGGTGTCAACTTGGTAATATTTTAATTCTAAGGTTTGGAAGAGCTTTGTACATCATGGATGCTTCAGAAATCCCAAGAAATGAACAGTCTTGTTTATTTCTGAGCATTCATTTTGAATGTGTATTTCAACCCACAGGCTATATTCAAGTAAGTTATGCCTAGTACCTCATGCCTAGATTGTTCCATATTGATCCCTTGGAAGCTTCTAGAGTCTACTAATTTAAATGTTACTGTAACTCTTGATCTGATTGTAGCACTGTCACTGTATCTGTGTCAGAAGGAAAGGCAAAGCAAGAGCTTAATTATACTGGTGATTAATCAGAAACAGACGGGGCAAGATTTCATCCTTCTCAGAAAACCATATCCATGTCACAGCACAGACTCCAAGATTCCTTTAGAGAAGAAAAAATGTAAAACATGAGAGAGCAAGTAAGACATTTGGGCATTAATTCCAATTTTGTAGATGTATTTCTAGCCCACAGTCGCTGTCAGAACACAGTCCAAGAATGGAGTCGTGAGAGGGAAATTCTGAGTGCTTGTGAGAAAACTCCACAAGACCAAGACAACGGTCTTGTGACTTCAGTTTCATCAAAAACACAGAAATGTTTTTGGCGTGTGATTGTGTGCTCTTCCCAGGTGTAGCAGATAGGAGTGAGTTCATGTCAGCTGCTGTTACTCAGCAGCCTCTATGGAAAGTATGTTTGCCATGTGCAGCTTGTCCTTGTGACTGTGCACTTTGCTCAGGAGACTCTTCTTCACCCTCAGAGTATCAATTGTCTAATGCTCTCAATAAAGTTGGCTACCTCATGAGACTTTAATCCACCTCATGTTAAGGCTTCATATCTCAGGTTTGCGCCCCCTCGAGTGGTAAACAACTGCTGGGAGAGCAAAGAAAACATCTCTACATTAATTCCAATTTTGTGGATGTAGTTCTAGCCCACAGTCACTGTCAGAACACATTCCAAGAATGGAGTCTTGAGAGGGAAATTCTGAGTGCTTGTGAGAAAACTCCACAAGACCAAGACAACGGTCTTGTGTCTTCTGTTTCATCAAAAACACGGAAATGTTTTGGCATGTGATTTTGTGCTCTTCCCAGGTGTAGCAGATAGGAATGAGTTCACTTTCACGTCAGCTGCTGTTACTCAGCAGCCTCTATGGAAAGTATTTTTGCCATTGCAGCTTGTCCTTGTGATTGTGCACTTTGCTCAGGAGACTCTTCTTCACCCTCAGAGTACCAACTGTCTAATGCTCTCAATAAAGTTGGCTGCTTCATGAGACTTTAATCCACCTCATGTTAAGGCTCCATATCCCAGGTTCGTGCCCCCTCGAGCCGTAAACAACTGCTGTGTGCAGGAGGCTTCTGTGTTTTCAAGGCAGAAACCAGCAGGCCTTAAAACTGTCACAGGGAGCACAGCAAAATCCCCCACACAGTGCGCTGATGGGCCTATGTTCTTCAAACAAAGTGACAAGTGGAAAGTTTTCTGTTTTTAGAGTTCTCAGCTTACACATCCTTACCTCATCAGAGCATCCCAGGGAGGCTCCTGACGCTCTGCGTGTACAGTCTACTTGGTCGAGAAGCACAAGGAGAAATCCAATATAACAGTTCATGCTAAAGCACATTGGCAGGTTTGCTCACATTCATTGCCCTCAGTTTCAACTCACATTCCTATTTTCTTCTCATAGAGCATGAGCATCCCTATGACATCATCATGAGAAACATTCAAAGTAACGTCAGTCAACGACGACGACGGAAATCAAGGAAGTGCACAGCTTTTCCTGCCCTGCCTGGGCTGTATGTGGAACAACCAGATCTACAGGGGCGATTCATCCTAAAGCCCACAGACCCAGCAGGAAGCCAGAAGCAGAGCAGTGAGTCCCTGACCTTCCTTCAAGTGGCCTTTCTCAATTCCAGTTTCTGTTATGCATACAATATCAATGCATAGTGTCATTTCTTGCTTGGAAAGGGGCACAATAAGGAACAAAATCAAAAACCAAACAACATTCCCCAGGCCAGACTTGAGAGAATTCTAAGTGCTGCAAGACTCACTTGTCCATAGGGAGAACATTTTATTCTTCCAGACAGATTGTCACCATAAGTATGCCAAGATACTGCCTACACATAACCATGTGTGCAGACAACTTTGGTCCCATTAGAATATGATTTCTAAGACCTGGATCCTCATATGTTCCCCATCATGTGGTTTCATGATCAGAGCAAAAAATGTCCTAATCACTACACTTAGACAAACCTGTAATGAAAGTTATACAGAAAGGTTACATGTACAGAAGGGGAGATCATCTGTTCTGGACTTGGGTAGAAATGGCCTTAGGATTGGAGCCCAGTCTCTAATCTCATTTCAGTTCACAAAACAACTTTGTTTTATGTGTGTCTTTAGATCTGAGTCTGAACTGGAAATGGACCCAATATTTATATACTGGGGCCTTTGAATTTATTTAAATATTTTTTTCAAATTACATTATACTTTCATTATTTTCCCCTTTCCTCTCCTTTCTTCAAAACTTCCCATGAACCACTTTGATTGCTTTCAAATTTTTGTCTTTTAAAACATTATGCCGGGCGGTGGTGATGCATGCCTTTAATCCCAGCACTTAGGAGGCAGAGGCAGGCGGATCTCTGTGAGTTCGAGGCCAGCCTGGTCTACAAAGCAAGTTCCAGGAAAGGCACAAAGCTACACAAAGAAACCCTGTCTCAAAAAAAATTATTACATATATACATGTATAAGCACATGTGCACACGAACATACACACACACATATGCTCACTCACTCACTCACTCATTCACACATCTTACTCAATCTGAATGATATTACTTGTGTTTTAAGGCCTGACTATTTGGTATTGGAAAGCCAACCAGTATATTGTATGCTGAGAAACACTGTATATTTTGTGTTTTGTTCTGTGACTCCTTTGTTTGCTGTTAATTGTAGTAACTTTTTTAAGATTTCACTATGGTCCAATATTCTAAAAGTAATCTCAGAAGAGGAAAAGAGACTTTGATCTCAGCTTTGAACTAACACATGGGGGCATGGTCCCAGAGTCTGTCTGACAAACGTAGTCATGCACACTTTCTCATGAGGGCATCTGCTGCTGAGGAAAGAAATCTGACAGTGGTTCTTCAAAAAGCTCAGCAAGAAAGCTAAGAATGGGACACTATGACACTGGAGGACAAGAACACAGCTTGAT